TAGCCAAAGACTGCTGGTAGTGATGATGATGATGCTTCGGCGGCGATGCCATCCTCGACTTGTGCTGTCCCGTCCCTCCTCGGTGCCATCCTCGAAGTCCTCCGCTGCTGCTGCTGGTGATGATGATGATGGTGATTCGGTGGTGGTGCCATCCTCGACTTGCTTGCTCTCGTCCATCCACAAAGCCATCCTCGTCGAAGTCCGTCAAAGTTCTTCGCCACCAGCAGGCAGTCGTCTTCAGAGAGTGCTTCGAGTCGGCCGCCAGAGATGATGATGATGATGATGTTGTTGATGGTGACGGCGATGGTGGTGATAATCAGCACTGGGCAGAGAGTGCACCAGAGAGAAAGAGATCTGCAAGGGAAAACAAAAGCAAAGGTTACACAAAGTATCGAGATCTGAACAACAACAACAACATAAATACTTATCTGAAGAAGAGGGTGAGGATGAGGATGATGATCGAGGAGACGGAGGGAAGTGGATGCCATCCATCCCCGAAGAGTTGATCTTGAAGCGGGCCAGGACCAGGCAGCCACCCACTCGACTGGGAGACACCGAGCAGAGCAGCAGCAAAACAGCAGACAGCAGACACGTCTGCTCTGCTCGGTGTCTCCCAGTTGATTGCCTGGGTAGCTGCTGTACACACACTCTGCTGTACGTCACCCTCATTTTCACCGCGGTCATCAGAGAGCAGCGCCCTCACTACCACCACCACTCATCAATGTCATCATTTTTTAGAGAAGTTAGATTAGATAGGTAGATAAATGTGCAATACAACAAGTAGTATCCACTTTGTAACAAAAGATATCTGTGGAAGTGAAGATGTGTTGCACTTTTGCTTTCAACGTCAAATGTGTTGGTGTGTGTCTTGTCAACAAGGTTTTATCAAGTACAAGTATTATGTAGTGAGTTTGTGAGCTAAATTATCTTCTTCATGAGTGGGGGAAACAGCTTTCGGGCTGTTCTAGCTACCGGTGCAGTAGAACAGTTTTGATTTCCAAGTAGTAGTAGTTAAGAGAGTAGTACCAATGTCCAGAGTATTTGTGTATTAGAGTGCATAAATAGTCGTGGTTGTGTATAAGTGATAAGAGCCTCGACCAGCAACCAGCCCCTTTCTCCCCTCTTTTGTACAAGACCGCTTTTTACAGTGCTAAGAATTAGTGTCCTCTTCCTTCTTCTTCGTCCTCCTAAGATCCAGCAGTGGGAGTGGCCGCCGTGGTGGTGATGTTGAGAGCCGAGGCAGCCCGAGCCGCCTCCTCTCGCTTCTCGGCGGCATTGGCAGCCGCCGTCGATCGACTGAAGTCGGCGACGATGAGGAAGTAGGAGGCGACGGCGGCGATAGTCTATCGATTGGCAAAATGGTAACAAAAACATTATCATCATTAGCTAGTTTCTCATTATCCAAAACATCACTCGTCTGACTTACATTGGATATACTGGCGTTGGTGATGACAAAGAGATCGAGACAGGAGAAGCCAATAGTCGGTCCGCGCACTCGGTGGAGGAAGGTGGACATCTAGTAAGAGTGGTAATAAAAATGATAAGAAGGTTTGTAAAGTTCTAATTCCACTTTCTCCCTTACGTTCACTTCCAGGTCAATCGGCAACTGCAGCAGCGAGAGCGTGTGAAGGGCCGTGTAAGGACTGTGAGCCTGTGGAGTGGATGTAAACAAAGAGAATAAGTAAAGACCTAAAAGATCTCCAAGGGAAAGAGATCACCTCAGCCGAGACGTCGGCCGCCGACAGTGAGATGAAGGCGAGGAAGAGGATGGAGTGGAGGAAGACGGTCCAGGTGACGATCGCAAGCAGGTCATCAAAGTCGGCGAAGAAGAGGTTGTAGAGGGCGTAGCAGTTGCAGGGAATGTGACACATGTAGTTGAAGAAGATGAAAGACTGCCAGAAGCTGTTCGACTCGTCCACCAGTTCGCAGATCTCATTGTGCTCGTAGTAGAGCGTCGAGAGGGCGTTGTTCTTGCTGCCCAGCGGACCCGGATCGGACTCTGCCAGCGCCTCGATGTCCTTGCACACCTGCTTGAAGCGGTTGCTGAGGATCAGGCAGACCAGGTTGAAGTACGTCATGGTGAACATGTTGATGCCCGCCATGAAGAAGATCCAGATACATTGGACGCCGATCCACGGGACAAAGAGGCGGAAGGTGTACTGGTCCATGTTCTCGTAGGCGGTCAGCGTGTAGAGTGAGCCCACCATGCCGGTGGCCACCAGGACGATCAGGTTGTTGATGATGATGGTCACCTGAGTGCGACGCTCGTGGTTGTTCGTGTCGTACTTGGCCGTGCGGATGGAGTTCGTTTGCATCTGCTTCACCGAGACGAAGGGCACGAGCCAGGCGAGCTATGGGAAATAGAAAAGGAGTTTAAGTTTTGGGGTAAAATGAACTTCCTCAGCTTTACCTCCTGCTCATTGCGCAGAAAGATGGTGGCAATGATGGCCGTCTGCAGTGAGTAGTAGAAGGTGGGCATCAGGTAGTACATGCGGTAGTCATTCCAGAAGCCGGTCAGGTCGCCCAGCATCAGCTGTATCTCCCGGTCGCCGATGAACATCAGAACGAAGCCTCGAATGGCGAAGAACCACAACATCAGACAGACCAGCTGACAGTAGAAGCGCTTCAGATTGGTCGCCGTCTTGTCCTGCTTGATGGGGCCATAACGTTGGCCAAAGTCCAGGCCGGTGGAGATGAGTCTAAGGAGAGTTTAGAAAAGCAAGATTTAGTTTTGGAATGATAAGGTGATTCATTCACAAAGGTAGTTGTTACCCGAAAGCCTTAAAGTAGAACTCGTAGGCGAGCTTGGGAATGGTGAAGGCATCGCGATTGGGCATCTGCGCCTGGAAGCCCTTTCGCTGGTCCATGAGGATGGTGGTGGTGGTGGTGGTGGTTTAAGTGTGCCTAAAAATAACAAATGTTATTAGGCTTTAATTTGAAGTGCTGATTGGGCACTAGCCTAATTATCACTGGTTATCTTTACCTGCAAAAAGGTTGAGCCGTCAAGCCAGTGATCTCGTCACGCCAAGAGTCACCTTCACAGTCTTAAGTGAAGGGTATGAACTTCTTGGGTGAAAAATCAACTTCTTTCTGAACACTCCCGAGCAGCCAGAAAGTCTGGCTGGTCTGGTCGGGTGGAGAAGCGGCGGCCAACTGATCAGGAGGTTGTCAGGAGACGACGAGTTGTGAAGTGAAACGAATCCGCCGAGTTCGATTTCCCTCCTCTTTGTTTCTTGACAACTGCCGTCAGCTTGACAGCATTTTAAAGTGTGGTGGTTGTGCTGGGTGAGATCCGTTTCGCTGCTGCTGTTTCTGCTCCCGTACACAAAACCGTTGAATCGATATCAGCTGTACAGCTACACACCTTGTACACCTTGTCATAGTTGAAGAGGAGAAGAAGAGGAGATAAATGGTCGACAAATATCGACTTGAGAAAACTTAAAAAGACTTTGTGGTGGTGATGGTAGAAAAGCGCAGTCAGGTTTGTCGTTAATTGCCTCAGTGGCTATGAGAATCGATCGCCAGACTCAACTGAGAAGAGGACTCTTCTAAAATCGAAGGAAAAAAAAGTTGGTATTTTTTGACTAGTGCTGGTGAGGAGTCAGTTTTTTAGTAGTCAGCAGGTTTGTTGTTGGTAAAGGCGACGATCAATGCTCAAGTATTTCCAACGGCAACTGCGAGGAGACTTTAAACTTGAAAATGGAACTGCAAAACAACAAACAGCGTCAACTCTGGCGCTAATTACCAAAGTTGCCGACACTGTGCACCACACAAGCTCGATCGAAACAAACAGTAAACTTGAGACGCTTTTGGGCGCTTCCGTTCTGACGCTAGTTCTAAACTGTAAATGTAGAAAGGCAACAAGAATATTCTGGACTGCTTTTTTGGAGAGGCGACAGTGTGACAGTCGTTTAGTTATCAAGTTAGAATAAGTGGGCACAAAAAGAAGAACTCTGAAATCGATTTCAAGAATTGAACTTACGACTAATTTTTGGAGCAGTTTCAGTTTCAACTCAATTACAAAAGTGATCGCTAGTTTTGCAAACAGAAAAAATGCTTTTGCAAATCACATAAAACTTGGCAAGAAACTTGTACAATGGCAGGAATTAGTTTTATCATCTTTGCGTCTTTTATTATAGCTTTTCTTTTATCTTTGAGAGAGCTCAAGAGTGTATGGCAGAGAACAAAATGAGGAAAAAAGGGAAAGAACTTGCTTCAAGTAAAATCTTGAAATGTTCAAAAAAAGCTGGAACAGTGATATCTCTAAGATGTTGTTATGGTGTGTTTTGAGAACGGTAAAAAACTAGTCAGTGTTTAGTGAAGAAGAGGAAAGGGAAGAAAAGTGATCAGTGTGTGTCATGATGATAGAAAAAAGAGGGAAACATATCACATCTGTGCAATCAATCAATGAGCGGTTCGGGTGCTCACAAAAGAGAAGAAATCTATGATACAGAAGAAGGTGAATTTACAGGTAAAATTACAAAAGTTCTAGGATCTGCCTATCTACAGTGTGCTGTACAGTGAAATGGTTTTTGTGTTCTTGGATATGTACAGAAAAGTGATTTGGTGCTGCTGGCAGCAGCAGCAGGATTTGCTGAACAGAATGCTGTACTGTACAGTCACATTTTCACATCTTTGGTACAGTGCTGAATTTGGGAGGGAAAATCTTATAACACAAGAGAGCATTTGGTAAAAGAAAGATAAGCATGGTATCACAGTGTTTGAATAAAAAAAACATAAAAAACAAAAAACAGAGTTTGAGAATCAAGAGTTGATAGTAGACAGGTTTGACAGTCTTGGTATGGCGAGGTGATGATAAAAATTGTGATGAGTGAAGCAGGAATTGACCAGAATTGAGCGCAACAAAATGTAACAAGCGAAGATGTAATGACGATCATCATCTTCTTCATCACCTCACTTGATTTTGTTTACTTTGGCATTTCTGAAAAAAATAGAAAGAAAAAAGTTTTAGAACAAATTCAATTGCAAATCTCAGAAAATCAATCTAAACTTACCGACTGCCTCAGCTGCCACCTCTTCATGTCGCTCTTGTACTTCTCAAACTGGTGACACCAGTCAGAGTAGACCTTGCGAAACTCGGTCTCGCTTGGCGTGGAGCACGTTTCTATTGAAAAAATAACAAAGTTTATGATTAGTAAAAGGAAAACCTTATCATCAAAGTTTATCATCAGCATCAGCACTTACTGGCATCCACCTCGACGGTGTAGCTGAAGACGGTGCCCGGCCCCAGGCGGCAGTCGTAGCGGCCACTCTCCCGGTCGGTGACGCCCAGAATCACCAGCCCGTGGTCGGCCGTCTGGACGTACTTGTCCCGCTTGGGCAGCACCTCAAAACTGCTCGACTTGGCGCTGCGAAAGTAGTACCACTTGATGGGGCCCTGGGCGGCCAGGGTGGCCTCCATGTCGTGGCTGTTCAGCGTACAGGGCAGGTGGACCGACTCGCCAAAGGCCACCTTGAGGTGTTTGGTCTCGATGGCTCCCGGCGCGTCGCAGACGCCCGTCGTGGCGTTGGTGATGTCCTGGAGAAGCCTGTTGGATGATAGTTAGGAGTTAGTCTTTTGATTTTCGTTGATAAGCTATCCAGAGCTTACCCATTATTGTACGGCTTGCACTCGCCCGCCTCCCGGTCCCAGCCGCAGTACGGATCCTGAATGCACCTCGCACAGCTCTCGTACCGCCCTCGACAGGTACTGACCAGGCCAATCTGCCTGATCTTCGAGTCGCTGGCCACGTAGATAGACCGGTGCAGTGGGCTGATCTCCATCGCCCTGATCGGCTCTGGCGTCGTCGCCTCAAAGACGTCCACCAGATTGGAGTGCACCGCCCCCGAGGCGTCGTACCACTCGACCACCTTGTACACGTACCCGGTGGCCGTGCCGCCCAGGTAGACCGTGTACTGAAGGCCGTCCACTTCGAGAACGTCGGCGACGATTTTCGTGAAGACTAGGTCTCGCTTGTAAAAGACCGGCAGACTGTTATCATTCGCTACTGAGCTGTCCATCAACGGGTGCCCCCTGATAAAGTTCAGCACTGAATCGGGAAGGACTTGAGTGTCGTTGACGCACGTTCCAGGCCGAGGTTCGGGGACTTTGCTGCTCAAAACAGGGAGCCAGGCGCTACTGCTCGTTGCCTGTTCTTTGAATTTTCCCAGAAACACCTCCTCAACCTTTGAAAGGCTAAATGTGCAGATGGCCGAGCCGACGATGCCGTTCATTGAGGTGCTAAAGACGCCGTAGAACTTTTCGCCGTCATCGGGTCGTTTGTAGATGCTCTCTGTTAAAAATAAAAAGTGTGTTAGTAATTTGAAACAAAAAGAGAATCATAAAGACAATGGCAATTAGAGTGGTTAAAAAATTTGGCCCAGACGGACAAATGGAAACAAATGCTTGGCAAATTTGCTGTTTGTTTAGCTGTTGTGTAAAAGCGGTAATTCAGCGGATATTGATGAGCTTCATTTGTCTGATTGTCAGCTATTAAAAACCTGCGGTTGTTACACCGGCGGTGGTGTAATTGAGATTAATAATAATACACTTTTAGCAAATGACAATTGATTAGCACCTGTCTTCTCTGTTTTACTAACAAAAAATGTCATTGAGCACCACTCAGGAAATGGATTAAAATCGGTGTAAAAACTATAGTGAAAAAATAGATAATGCTTTACAAAATGAGCATTATTTTGAAAACAAAAAAAATAGTACAATAACAAAAAAACTTAATGCTCAACTTTTTTTAAAAGAAGAAAAATAAATATAACAAAGCTGATGTCTAGACACACATTGTATAAAAAGTCTGCGCTGGCTCAAGTGTACGGTGCTTTGAAAGCAGAATAAAAATAGAGAGTTGGGCCATTGTGTAGTTCAGGTAGAAAAGAAGAATAGCGATGCAGGCAGGCCACTTACGAATTTCATTAAAGTAAAAGGGAAACTCATCATTGGCGCCGCCAATCTTGCACACCAATCGGGCTTTTCTGTATAGTGGATGAGAAGAAAGAGAAAAGAAAAGAAAAGAAAAGAAAAGTAATGCAAATTAGTATGATGGCGGCGGAAGTGATAATGGTTGCACAAAAGAGCAAATTCTTCTGCAACAGCAAAAAACTCACATAAAGGTGGCCCAGTTCTTGTTGAGAATATTCCGACCGCCGGTGTCCCGCTTGCAGACGCGGGCAATGCGCGAGTAGATCGCCTTGCCGCAGTTGATGTACTCCACGGCCGATTCGCGGAAGAAGAAGTACACGTAGTCGCCCACCTCAAAGGAGCCCACAAAGTTTGGTTCTAGGGTAAAAAGGAAATAGTTTTAAATTGTCACAAAATTTTTTTTCAACAAATATAAAACTCGGGGTACTCACTGTCAAGCCACTTTGAGTCGTACTTGATGGTCCGCTTAAAAGGGTACACCTTCTCGCCCGTTTGCAGGTTAAAGAGGTCAGTGCGGAAGATGACCGTGTCAGCTTTGCTGTACTCCGCCACCGAGCCACTGTACAGGCCAGGCAGGTCGCCGGGATTGCCCTTGTCTGGAAGAAAAAAAAATGGTGAAAAAATCAGCAAAAGGAAACTCAAAACTCTTGAACTCAAAATCAAAGCCCTAACACAGGAAAAAGCATATTTCAGCTGACAGTGTGGCTGATCGATTTTCTGCCCATTCTGGTTTTGCAACCAAACGGAAGAAATCAAATCAAATTAAACTGCTGCTGTCTGGCTGAAATTTTTCCTTCTTTTCCTTTGCAGACATCTGCGAGATAGAAGCTGTTGATGCTGCTGCTGCTGCTATTGCCTCAGTCGTCTCGATTGATTTGCCAAATATCGACCACAGAATCGAAGGTTTGACGACGAGAAATCGAGTTCAATTGTAAAGAAGAAAAAAACTGGCGACCAAAACTTACCAACCCACAGCGCAGTGGAATTGTCATCGGGATCAAAGGGACACTTGGCGATGCCATTGCCAATGCCAGGTATTGTCTGCGTAGAGATGCTCAGGTTTGAGGTCTGGAGAAAAGAAAATGGGAAAGAAGAAGTGTCAGAAAGATAAGCACAGCTGTACTAAAAGGTGATAAGGCGACCGACTTGACTTACATTAACGATCCAGTCCTTGGGCTGGTAGGCATTGGTGCCGCAGATGTACAGCTGACTGCGGTCGGCGCCCATCGGCTGAATGACGCGAATGTGATTGCGGCAGTCAAAGTTCTGAGTTGGTCAGTGAAAGGAAAAAAAGAGGAAGAAAAAGTAAGTTAATATCTGAGAAAGCTGGTTGATTCAAGAAGGGAATCCTCCTATTAAAGTTCCCCTCTTTTTCTCTCGTTTTCTCGTTCACACTTTTTTGCACTTTACTTTAGCTCTACTCTACTTTAGCTTTTTTTCAACAGCGTATCGCTCTTTCGGCCTGGCCAGTTAGCACCAGCACCAGTTAGCAAATAAATAATCTCGATTAATTTCACTTTACAGGCTGTGTGAGGTTGGTGCTGCTGCTGCTGATGCTGAAAAGTGGCCATCGAGCACAATGCTGCCTCTGCTGCTGCTGAATCGAAATCGAAATTGTCAAAATCAATAAAGCGATAGACACACTGGCAAACACATCGTTGAAAAAATGGGAAGAAAAAAGAAAGAAAAGAAGAAGCAAAAGTAGAAGAAGAAGAAAAGAGAAAGAGAATTCAGTCGTGAGTTCATTTTGTCGGCCTCTCTCTTTCTTTTTTTCGCTTAATCGCACTGAAAACAGACTTAATTTCAGAGACCAGTAGTAGCAGAAGCAGAAGCAGCAGCCCGGGCAGTAGTAGTAAGTGTGTAATCATCGAGACAATTTGAGGAGAAATAATAGCAGTAAAAAATGGAATGGAGAATGGCCGTGCCAGTGCTGCAACACTGAATGAGCAGTACTCTATCTAATATTTAGAGAATGGTAAGACACATTCTAAGGTTGGAGATAGATAGTGGAGGATAGATTGCAGAGGAGAGAGAATTGCTTAGAAAGAAAAAATAAAGATTCTGCAGGAATTCCAGGATAGATTCTTCTTCCTCTTCCTATTGTGGCAAAAAAGAATCTACTTGCTTTACTTTGCGGCCGTTTCTGGCTACTGAACTGAGGCTCAACAACAACAAAGCTGCAAAGTTGATAAACTGTGCGGAGGAACTCTCTCATTCTCCTCTTCTATTTTTTGCAGCGGTAATTAGAAATTAGTGCATTGAGCTTGCACTCCTCCGTTGGCACTTATTCCTTTACTTGCAGTTTTTAGTTTCAATTTCGATTTCTTACCTCCGATTTGCCCTTAGCGACGCAGCTCGGCATGCTCGACGGCTCCAGCTTGATTGCATCGACCTGTGACGATAAAAAAAGAAGAGAAAAAGAAGAAAATGTTAGTTAGTTAGCGAGATGGTGAGAGAGAAGGAAAGAAGGAGGCTTGAAACTGCTCAACTTGATGATGGCAGTAGTAGTGATGGTGATAAAAACAAAAAAGAACAGGTAATAGGCAAACGTTAGAGTGTACAAAAGCAAAAGCAAAGAGTTTGCTGATGCTCAAATGAACACACAAGTCCAACAACGTTCAATGGTTTTGTGCTAAGATGGAGATAGGGAAAAGGAGAAACTCATTTCAGTGTATATGTGCTCACTTGTCGGTACTTAATTAAATGACACTATATGTTCTACTCAAATACTTGAATACCTCTTTTACAGCTGCATACAGAGACTATTACACGACCATTGCCACCAAGTTGATGACATACACACCGTCAGTGGTAACAACTGTGCTCCTGCTGAACACTGTCCATTTGTTTGGTAATAAAAAAGTCAAAGAACAGCAGCAGCACACTGTCCATTGATGCTCTTAGACAAAGGAGAGAAGAAGGTCCACCATTTGTCCAAATGGGCAACCAAATTTTTGTGACTGGTCAGAGCGCACATACACACACAAAAGATGTGAACATGCACCAAGCAAGCAAAAGTTTTAAGNGGAAGGTGCACCATTTGTCCAAATGGGCAACCAAATTTTTGTGACTGGTCAGAGCGCACATACACACACAAAAGATGTGAACATGCACCAAGCAAGCAAAAGTTTTAAGATGAAAATGCAGATAAGAGAAATGCTACAAAAAATGACTCCTGAAAAGGAGCCTAAAAAGAAAGCGGCCCTGCAAAAAATGAAACTTTGCTGACCAAAATGAAAAAAGTGCTGCTAAAGAATCAGACCTCTCCTTTGTCTATCTTTGTGTTCCAAAAGTAAGAAAAAAAAGAATCTTGCTGTTTTTGCTGGCTACAAAAACCAGAAAACAACGAGCGAGTTTTTTCACTCCACAAAAAAACTCATTGCACCCTAGCACGCGACCCTGCTGATGTTGCAATGTTGCAAACTGCAAATTCTCGAGCTGTGCAAGAGCCGAGATAAGAAAGCGGCTGTGTGTCTGTGTCTGCCTGACAGACAAAAATGGCTGGCGGTGGACAGATGGGCTTGAAAAAAAAGAAGAAAAGGCAAAAGAGTGAATGAAAGAAAGAGTAAAAAAAGAGTGAACGATGAAGCCCAACAAATAGCTGAATCAGTAGTAGTAAGTCAAAGGTGTCAGAGATGATGCTGATGCTGATGCACTAGAATTATGTGTTAGAAGACACAGAAGACAAAGAAGAAGAGGGGACAGACACAACGAGGGGCGGAAAAAGTTAATAAATAAAAGAACACACTGCTAAATGAGAATTGTCATGTTCGGAGGAGGAGGAGGATGATGCTACACTGTGTTCCACTAATATTCACCCGGAGATGAGAAAACAGAGGAGAGGAGAGTGATCTACGGGCACCGAAAATGAAATGAGGATTCCAACAGGAAAAAAGAAAAAAGATGCACACGCGCCCGAAACTCCGTTAAACACTCCCTTTGTCCTTAGTTTTTTCTCCGCTCCGTTTTTCTCGGCTTATCTGCCATCATAAATTAATCACGAGCATAGAAAAGGAGGGAGAGAGGGGAAAGAAGGAGAAAAGAGAATCCCCAGAAAAAAAGATAGGGTCGTGTGAAGAAGAAGAAGAGAGAAACAGAACGAAAACGACGTTTTCCTAGTTGGGGATAGATAAAGCAGGCAAATTGCGCTCGCTCGTTTATTCGCTTCCTAGCTCGTTTGCCGCCGCCGATTGCGCGCTAGGCTCGGCGGCGGCGGCAAATTGAGAAAAACGGACGAACCAGAAAGCAAAGGATGGAGCTGGCAACAAAGGGGATAATGAAAGGAAATGAGAAGAAGGAGAAGAAGAAGAAGTTTGACTGCAAGAGGAGACAAAGTCACAACAAATTGCGCCCTGTGCTGTGCTTGTAATTAACTTGTCTGCTGCTGCTGCTGAGGCTAAAGAAGGAAACAGCAAGAAAGAAGAAGCGGCTCTGCAGATAAGATACGGCAAACACTGAAAAGAAGAAAAGAAGAAAGGAGAAAGAAGAAGAGCAAGGCTTGCGGAGAATTAGATTAGGACCCTAACTGGATTAGGCGGCGGTGGTAGACTGCTGCTGTTGTTGCTGGATTCTGGTTCTTAGTATTTGACCAGACTGCTTTTTCCGCAGCCGACTACCACTGCTACACTGCACTAGCACTTACATAAATGCAAATTAATAAAGTAGCAGCAGAACAGCTAACAGAAAACAGAACTAAACTAAACTAAACTAAACTGGGAAGAAGAAAACAGTACGTGCTCTGAATAGTACACAACTTTTTTTTCCCTTTTTGTTGGTAACAAAACTCACTCACTCAATTCTGGCAATGCTAAATCTGAATCGAATTTGCTGCAAACAAAGATTTCAATGCTGTCGCCGTTGAAAGTTCTGCACTGAAGAGTATGCCGCATTTGGAAACAATGCAAAACTGTGTGTGTGTATACAACACAACTTCCCCCTCTACTCAACAGCGTAATCACTGTTGGCCACTAGAAAGAAGAGGAAGAAGAAGAAGTGGCCAGAATCAGAATTTTGAAAGCCAGAACCAGAAGCAGCTAAACTGAGATTCTTTAAAATGGTCGACAGCCGAGCTATAAATCATATCAGAGAGAGCTCGTGACAGTGAGAGAGAACTAACCATTTTCAGGCAGTCTGTAAAAAAGTACAAAAAGTAGCAAAAATGGTCGCCAAATGGTCTCCAACCAAGTCAGTCAGTCAGCCAGCCAGTCATCACAGTCTGTGTCACAGTTTTACTACTGCTGCTGTTGCTGCTGCTGTCGAATATTAAAATTCAATTTGAACTGGGAGAAATTCTCTCTGGGTGTAAAGCAAGCGAGGCTCTGTCTGAGAGCAGCACTATTCGATCGACAGTGAAACTCTCTTTTTCTCAGATTCAGAATAAAACTCAAATTCAGTCAGACAGTCACAGAGAGAATTGCCTCCCGTTGCGGCGATTCAGTCAGTCAGTGCTGACTGACTGAATGAATGGAAAAGCGTGCCATTAAGTGCGGCGGCGAGTCCTGGTCCTGAATCGACTACAAAGTCTGAATCGATGGCCAAAAAAAGTGCCCGAGCGCGATCGAACAGTGCCAGTGGCAAGTGCAAGTCTGAGGAGAAAAAAGGGAGAAGGAGAAGGACGTGCCACATGCAATCAAAGCCCAGTTTAATAGCCGAGGAGATGGAAAATGGAAAAAACAGAAAAAGAAAGGAGCACATTAGCATCTGCTTTCACCAGCCAGTCAGTGAGGGAACAAAAAACTAGATTGTCAACTAAATTGCTCTGCAAATGCAAAATATAAATCAAACAATGTGCAGAGTGATTGAGGGAGAAAAAGTGCCCCACACACACAGATGATGAGCCCGCAGAATCCCCGGCAAAAAACTCCCTCCAAATTCTGTCAAACAGAACCAGAACTGAGATACAATCGATCCAGAAATTTTTGCGGCATGTCTATCAACCACCAGCACCAGCACCAGCACCAGCAGCATCATCAGCACACCAGTAATTGTGCTTTAATTTCATTTGCATGAACCGTCGTCCTCCTCAAAGTTGTAGGCACCGAAAGAGTTAGCTGGAAATCTCATCATTTCTCTATCGCTCCTCATCATTGCACGCTCCCATCATGTTTGATTGTAGTAGTATGATTGTAACTGTTTTGCCTTCTGCTTGTAATTTAATTAAGTTTTGGCAAAGAAAAAATACTATTGCCTGTATGTATGTAATTGATGTAAGAGTGGGAGAGAGAGAGAGTTGAACAAGAGCTCAGCCTCGTAATTAATAGCCCTGAGGTGAGCGGTCGATGAGCCAAATGTTTGCAGAACAGCCAGAACAACACACAGCCAACAGTAATTAATTGGCACACAAATCAAATTGAAACAGTAACAGCAGCAGCGGAAACATAAACACATGTTAGGACAAGGCAAATGCATCACAGTTTTACTGCTGCCAAACACAGCAAAACTAATAAAACTGACGACCAGTAATGGGCATAAATCATCAACGAGTTTACTACTTTCATCGACTTTTAAGTCTCTCTCCCTTTTGCTCAGAGTAAAAAACTAGCAGAATACTTTGCCATAACAGAAAGGCCACAAACTAACTGCAGACACGTGAACACTGAATCAGAAAAAAAGAATTTGCCGTGCACATGCCACCACTTTTATAACATCACTTTTTAACTTTACCAGAAAATGAAAATGAGCCAGCAAATGAGCTTTTTTTGCAAGGCTGCCTCAGCGGAGACATTACAGCAAAATGAAGTAAATGGCGGTCGAAAAGGACAATCACCAGTGTGCAGCAGTGTGGTGGTGGTGAGGATGTCACCTTGCCTGCCTGCACTAATGTTCAGATGCTTTATTATTCCTAGAAAAAGGCAGCGACCAAAAATGAAGCAAAAGAAGAAGAGACTCAAGAGACTCTCTTCCCATCCTCTCTCCCTCTTATTCAGCCTTATTTCCTTGGCGACAATTTTCCTTTTTTCTAATTAGAATTACGATAGAGGAGTGTAGTAAACGGAGCGAGAAAAGAGAGCGAAAAGAGAGAATTGAAAGCTGCTGGTCAGCCAGCTGAGGCATCTTCAGTGCAATCAACAGAAGAAGAAGAAGGAGAAGAAGGAGAAGGAACTGAACGACATCTTGGCCGCCATTGCTACTAATCAATGCACTGGTCGCCCGTTTATCGGCAACAACAACGGCAGCAAACGGAAGCAAAATTAGAAATAATTTGACTGCAAAATAAATAAATTTCCGCTGCTCAGAAGCTGAAAGCGGTCAGTTCGAATGATAACACACACAAAGTAGTCAGTCAGTTAGTCAGTCAACTAGACTGCTGCTGCTGCTAGTGGAATTAATTCAGCGAGTGCCAGCACAAAAGGAGAAAAAGTTACTTTTGCCGCCAATTTTTTTTTCTCAAAA